CCCCGTTGAAAAGGGTATTTTGTCAGGATTACAATGGTGCTTTTCATTTTAAAGGGGAGAGGGATGTTCGCTGAGATTTAATTAAAAAAGAAACAATAAAAATTAGAAACAATAAAAATTGGAGACAATTAGAAACAATGAAAATCGTAAAAATTTTAATTTGGGGCGTGACGAGAAATTAACCCGCTTACTGGCACTCACGAGTAAAGTTGTCCGGCGTTGATAGACAGTATCACAGTAAATACTAAATTAAGTCGCAAATATATCAATACAATAAGCTGGCTTAATTGGCTTCAACCTGCTGAACATTCATACTGTTCTCTATTTAACAGATGGACCCAAGGAGCCTGCTGAGGATGAACGTCACCAACATACGAAAAGTAAGCATGTTTTCCTTCCGAATTTTAAATTCTGCTTGGTGAATATCAATGAATATCGAGAGATTTCAAATGTCATAGTTTCGATTATATTTTATACAATAACATTAATGTTTTGCACGATTTGATTAGTCGAGAGCCATGAACTATTACAGGACAGATACTCGGCTTTTGTCACACTTGTTCTTTTTCATGTTAACCAATGAAAATCGTCACAGCAATGTCAAGCCTTATCAATCTATTTTTTTCTTTTTTATTCTATAAAACAAATAAATTTCATTTTGCCGTTGTCTGTTGAGTTATAGATGAATATAAAGGAAATTTGTAACTCGACTACGTCTCGTGGGCCATTTTTAGTGTGAAGTTTCACTTCACACTGTTGTGATGGCTGGCGAATTCACACGAATCAGTCAGTCAGGCAATCAGTCAGTCAGGCAATCAGTCAGTCAGGCAATCATCAGTCAGGCAATCAGTCAGTCATAGAGTAAACTTTCCGGGGGGTGTATACGATTTATGTTCGCGGTGATTTATTGTACTTAATCAGTGCTTTGAAGGTTATTTAAGCAATTTTATTTATTTTCTTTAAATATTCTTTTGTCCTTTTGCCAAGCTCACAAAAATTTCGAGGAATCGTTGTCGTTATTGTAAATTTTTGTAATTTCAGAACATTCGCTTCTCATGTTGTGTAAAGGATCTTTCCCCCCGGAACACCCGATTTTTTCTATAGCAGGGCAAATGCGCATGCGCTATGAAGCCGTAGATCACGATGCTAGGAAGGAGCGACAGTGTTGTTTTCAAATGTATTAATTTAAACATTTCAGACGTGAATATTGAGTAAATCTTTGAGAATCTACGCAATATATAAATTTATGTTATGCATGACGGTCTCTCAATCAAGTACTGATATATATGGACGGTATATTCATTAATATACAGAGCTAGGAAGGAGCGACGTGACAGTGTTGTTTTCAAATGTATAAACATTTCAGACGTAAATATTGAGAAAATCTTTGAGATTCTAGGCATTCAATTGAGTGCCGATATTATTTTCACGGCATACTCGTTATACAGAGGTAGAGTATACGTAGGCAGAAGCGAGACAGTGTTGTTTTCAAGTATATGAACATTTCAGACATGAATATTGAGAAAATCTTTGTCCTTTGAGATTCTACGCAATAATACTATTATGTAGTATTATGTTGTGCATTACCGGTATTCAATTAAGTGCCCATCGATATTATTTAGAACGTGTATTCATTATACACTGTCATTGACTGTATAAGGTGCTACATCACAGAATAGATGGCTACGCTCAGTACAAAGAGCGAAACAACTATTATTAAACAGAAGCGGGTAAACGTTTGTACGGCGTTTACGAAGAAAATAAC